GCTCTTAGCCTCTCATACATCTCTCCAGGCCTGTAAATGTATCTTAATACATATTTATAATAGTATAATATTTAATTATATATATAGTTGTAGAAAATTATTTTAAGGTGTGTTGCTGGGATTAAAGATGTGCCCCACCACCGCCCGGCATTTTTGTTTTGTTTTAAGAGAGAGACTATGAAGTTGGGTTGGGAGGTGGAGGAGGAGGATTTGGGAGGAACTGGGGGAGGGAGATAAGTATGACAAAATGCATTGTATGAAAATCTCAAAGACTAAATAAAAACATTATTTTTTTCTGAGACAGGGTCTCACTATGTCGCTATGTCTGTCCTGGAATTCACTATATAAACAAGGCTAGCCTTGAATTCACAGAGATCCACCTGCCTCTGTTTCCAAAGTGCTGAGATCCACCTGCCTCTGTTTCCAAAGTGCTGGGATTAAAGGCATGAAGGCTGGGCTACTATACCTGGCCTAAAAAAAAATTTTAAAGTTGATTTTAAAGAAATAATGGTTAAAAAAAAGAAAGAAAAGGAAAATGCCCGCTACTGTGTATTCTGACTTAACAATTAATAAAAATCATACTAAACATCAAGAAAAAGAAAGGCAATTCAAAACTAGGAAAATAGCTACAAAAAAAAAGACCACAGTCCTAACATAAGATGAAGTAAAATATAACATTGAAGTAGGTAAGAGTCACAGTTCACAAACTCACAACGTACTTCAACTACTCTGCGGTGGATGGGTACCTTGTCCAGCCCTGCTTGGTTCTGGGAACCTGTCTGGGGCAAGAGAATGAAGAAAGAGTGCAAACAGACACATGTTCGGAAAAGCTGGGGTTGGGAGGGATATGTTCTCTCTGGTGGAGCGGCTACTATACGGTTACACCTGTAACAACCCGGTTATTTCTTACACCATAGGGAAGAGTTAGCTGGTCTGAGTGGGAGGTCTTTGTAGGGGAGCAGTCCGGGGAGCAGGAAGCTGTGGTCACTAGTTTTTGCACAAATCGCCAACGTCCACACACACGACCAAAGGAAGGCTTTGCCAAGTCCCATGGTTATGAGGCATTGGTCCCTGTCAGTAATACATACTCATTTGTGACTTCATCCATGCCTCTAACCTTCTCTCGGGGCTTCCTCTGATTCCCACAGAGGGGTAACTCTCTGATCAAAACACTGAACTGTTTTTCCTTGCTGAAATGCTTGAGGTTGAGCCCAGGGTTTCCTGCATGCTAGGGAAGTGCTCCACACTGAGCTGTATTACCAGCTTCTAAAATGAAATCTTCTGTCTACACAGGTTACTCAAATAAATGTCTGCTGTGGCAGCTCAAATACCCTTTGCTAGGTGACTTAACAGCATTCCTGCCCTGTAGAGTGGGACACATGAATATTTTCCGACATTTCCAGGCTCTCATCTAATGAACACATACCCAGCATAGCAGTTGTTCACTTCAGCCTTGCCCGTTCCCAAAGTGCTTCCAGAAACTGCCCCAGAAACCTTAAACTTGACTCTCTTCTCTCGACAGCCAGTGACTCCTTGTGTCTTTGCAGAACGGACAGCTTCATGGTGACACTGGACCGGTCCAGAAGTCACATGACTCGTACTTCATTCTCCAAAGTCCATAATTTCTCTAACAACCTCAGAGTTGGGGAGATAAGAGCTGCGGAAGGAAATCTGTGTGTCCTGGCAAACATCTTGCCCTAGGTAAAGTCTCACTTTCGGTACCTACTTGCGTGGGGGCAAGGGAAAGTAGAGCAAGGAACCTGGGGAAGTATACGGGAACACCTCAGAATATCGTAACACACAATCTCCTCATTTGTTTGTGACAGGTCTCATGGGATCCAAGCCGGCCTCAAACACAGTAACAGAGAGTGACTTTAAATCCCCGACCCTCTGGCCTCTACCTTCCCAGTACTGGGATTACGGATATGCACCACCGTGCATGTCTAAAGTTTCTATGTCTTTGGTGAAGAAAGTTTATTTTTTACGTTTGCTCAGCCCTCTCAGTAGCATAGAGATTTGCCTTTTTAACTTTCCAGGCCAGTAAGCAGTGTGACCAACTCCCCAATATCTCCCTATTCTATGATTAATCTACACAGTTTATGTCAACTTACACCCTGATTGGCAATGGGTTCAGGGATGGACAAGCCTAAGCCACTTCGAGTCAGTGGAATTTATAGCAGGTTTTTTCTTTCAGGCCACCAACCAGTTCCCAAATCATGACACGGTGACTTATAATAATTAGTTATGAAGGGTTGGCCTTATCTTATACTCGTTTCTTGCTAGCTCTTATAACTTAACCTGTTTCTCTTTATCTATACTTTGCCTAGGGGCTTTTTACTGTTCTTTCTGTATGTCTTTCTTGCCTTCTGTATGTCTTTCTTGCCTTCTGTATGTCTTACTTTTACTGCTTCTTGTGTCTGGCTGGTGGCTGCCTGCCTTCTGGCCCCAGGTGAGTCCCTCTCTTCCTCCCTCATTCTCCCTGATCTTCTTCTCTGCCCGCCTATCCCTCTCCTGCCTAACTATTGGCAGGTCAGCTTTTTATTAGATCAATCAGGTGCCTGAGGCAGGCAAGGTGAAACAGATGCAACACATCTTTATGTAATTAAACAAATGCAGCAGAAACAAATGTAACACACCTTTACACAGTTAAAGTCATAGTCCACAGCAGAAACAAATGTAACACATCTTTGCCTAGTTAAAATAATATTCCACAACAGAGATTCTATAAGAAGCCTCGATGCTGGCTCCGAGAAAACACCTTTCCGCATCTGGAATGCCATGGAAAGCAAGCTGTTTCCTCTGTGAGTTAGGAGTGGAGAAGGGAAGAGTTCCTATCATTGGCATTCCTGCCTCTGTGGTGGAGCAGCCAAAGCCATGAGTGCAGAGCCAAGCTCGTGGGAGCTGGGTCCTGCTCTCACTCTTCATCACGGAAGCCAAGTGGGGTGGGTTTTCTGCTGCTGCTTCCTCAGTTCTAACAGAACCAGAACAGAAGTAACAGACTGTAGTGGACTGTATAATGAGTCTCCTCCCTTCCCAGGGACAGGAATGCTAATTCCTAGAATCCGTGACAAGTGATTTGGGAGGAGTTTGAAGAAATAACTAAAGTCACATTTATTTCCAACCTCAGTCAGATGTTGACGAAACATAGACATTTTGACTTTAAAGAATCATGTTTGAGTTTTATTGCATAAACAGTCATCAAGATTTTAACATTTTTGTTTATTTAATCATTGTTATTGTTAGGACTGGTGGCACATGTCTGTAGTCACACAGGTAGCAGAGGCAGGAGAATCACGAGTTTGAGGGAATATTGAAAGTTACAGCAAGTTCACGGCCAGCCTGAACTACTTGGTAAAGTCTTAACTGAAAATCTGAGGGCTGGGGATATAGTTCAAAGGTAGAGTGCTTGCCTAGAGTGCACAGGCTCTGGGTTTGATAATCACTATCTCAAAAAATTTTTTTCTTTTCAGCAAAAGCACATATAACCCAGAAGTTCATGGCTGTTTTTAAAAATATTATCCAGTTCCATGACACATTTGAAGATATTACAGTTACCCTCCTATAGCTAGAAAAAGGAATACTTGAGCTTTGTTTGGCTACTGAGCTGGGGGCCTTCGGGTAAACTACTTCCCACTCTGAGCATATTAGCTGATTCTCCGGTGGGACTCTCCGTGGCTCTCAGGTACATTGACTCATCTAAGTCCTTGGTACCAGTTCATAGTTCCAGCCTCCGTCTTGGGTCAGTTGAATCAGATTGTCTGACACTGACATTCATATGTATTTTTGTTTGTTTGTTTCCTGGGGTTTATTTGTTTGAGACAGTGTCTTATTTTGTAACCCAGTCTGCCCTTGAATTCACAAAAAATCCTGCCGTCTCAGCCCCTAAGCATTGGGATTACAGGCATGAGACACCATGCCCGGCTTCCATATATATATATACACACACACACACATATATATATATATACATACATATATGTATATATATACATATATATATTTGTTTTATATATATTAGATTTATTTATCTTATTTTATGTGTAGTGGTGTTCTGTCTGC